CACCACCACACCTAAAACATCTAAAACATCTTCAAGCAAAGACACAGTATTTAAAGAAACACAGCCTCTGGAATGAGACCTCCTGAACTTTTCCAGATTCTGACCACTCCAGGAATTATACTAGACCATCCATATCTCTCTTTATGGTTTCTGTGCCCTTGATGTTTGTCCATTTGTGCATATCCCATCAAACTATATGCTCAAGCAGCATGTAAGTGCAGGTCAGATACTGTAAGAAATTACCCAATGCTCCTCCACTTGGTCTGCATGTATTTCTGATGCAGGCAAAGCAGAGGACAAAACCAAACTGTGTTTTCATAGTGGTGTTATGAGATAGATACATGGGTAAGGTCATGTGTGTGTGTGTGAGAGAGAGAGAAAGATAGTGTGTATAAGTATCCATGCATGCATAGTTGTAGTTCTAGAAAGAGTCATTTCTGTACATGATGTGCTGTATCCTGTGTCTATCTCTGTGTTAAACGAATGTTTTTGTTCCCTAACCATGTATGTGAATGGAGAAAAAAATTATTGAACCAATGATTGTATTTAAAGAAAAAAAAAGGTCTTGAAAATACTGTATTCATTATGAAAAGAGATGTAAAAAGGAGATGCAAGAAATCAAAGATTTTATCCTGATGAAATTATGGTGAAATTAGACGTTTTGTCAGTGCTTTATTTTAAATTTAAGAGGCAAATGGGCAAATTAAATGTTAACTTTAGAAGATCCATCACAAAAGCAAAATGTCCATTTAGTTTTATCTCAGCAGTTATTTTCTTATCATAAAGAGAAGGTTGTGCTGTTTTTCCCTTCACTCTCCATATTCTAGCTTGTTAGTACATCAGTGTTCCCGTCGTTCATTAAAAAACAAATGGTACCATTAACCACCAGCTAGCACACCTACAGTAGCTTACCACTGGGAGTGTCCATTGATGTAGTGAGGTATGCTTACAGTGCTAACAACCTGTTTTCCATATAACTTGACATTTGACATTGAGACAGTTGTCCAGTGAAGCCAAATAATGAGCTGAAATCTAAAATATCAAGTGAGTCCTTTAAAGAGACAGGTTGTTTTAGGTATATGGTTTAAGTCCTTGTCACTGTTAAACTCTCACTGCAACTGCTGGAGCAAAATCTTTCTAGGTCAACTCCTTAAATTCCTTCATGAACACTTGATCATTGAAATGCCATGTGTGTGTGTTTTTGTGTGTGTGCAGTAACTGTTATTGGTTGCTGCATTTGACCTACAGTGTCTGACATGACAAACTCCTTGATTCCACATGACAGTCATGGATCGTACACAGAGGTGAATGTGTTAGCACATGTGACTGAATGTGTTCAAATGATTGTATTCGCTCTGCGGTGTGTGCATGTGAGAGTGTGTGTGTACATACGTGGAGAGCCCTCTTCGTGTTGGTCATCATGTTATATTTTTTATTTAAAACATATTTTTGTTGTTGTGTTATTTTTACTGGATCGGCTTGCTGACATGTTAGAAATCTTAAGATTTTGTGTGACGCAGTGAGACTCATCTGGTCAGAAACTGTCGTACTTCAGACCCTCCTCCTCCTCTTTTTGCAGCCTGGACATGGAGGTCAAATAAGCTTCAAATAATCAAACAGGCCATAGAGGAAACTCCAGAGGTGTTGATCCATGTCGCAGGTCAGGTTTATGACTTTATAGTGAACTGAAAAGAATCCAGACATCTTTAAAAACACTCCATGTGCAATACTAGAGTTTTTCCATTTTCATCATCTCTTTCTTCCTTTTTTTCTTATTTCCTTCCCCTTTCTTTTCTCCTTTATCCACAGACACATGTTCAGGTACAAAGAAGGCTACAGTACAATTAGTTTTAGGACACATAGAAGTGAGAATTATTTTACCCATACACATATTTACTCAGTCTCAATTCCATTTAGTCAACACTGAATTCAATCAGTGCCAGTTCCCTGTGTTCCCCATTACATTCAGTTGTCGTGCATTAATGAATACTTTTTGGAAAATATAATGTTGACTAGAACATTTACAGCGAGGGCAGTGTGACATTTATAAGATACATTTTGAAGAAAGAAAAGGGAGCAGCATCTGAGATGCATGCTTGTATGTCACATGGATAGTGCCTTTCTCCTGTTTGCATGTGCTGCATATTTGATCACACATGGGGAGGAGACATGATGGGTGTGTGTCATTGCACACATTTTAAGAGCAGATTGTGAATAGGGTTTAATCTTCTCACTTGAACTGATAACAGACCAAGAGTAAGTGCTGCACAAAAGGAAGCTGGAAGAAGTTTTTGACTTATAATAAACAAATTTAAACAATTATACAGTAACACCATTATTACAGGTTGGTATAATCCTAATATGTACTGTGTGTTCAGTGCAGAAGTTTATTACATGTTAAGCCAGTGCATCATCAGTAAATCAGGTGCTTATAACATGCAAACTGCGTGCTTACATTGAAGGGAATGCGCACGACTAGTTTGTGAATTAGTGTGTAGTGGTCAGTGTTGTCCAGGCCCCACATCCCTTCTCATACAAGTTTTTAGCATTTAAATTTCTTTAGTTGACCTTGACCAAGATGTTAGGACCATAACCAAATAGTGACCATACTGTAGCTGTAGTAACACGTTGAAGGATAAAACAGTCTTTAAACTGACACAGTTGTGGCACAAACTTTAAAAGAAAAAGGCATTGCACTCAAGATACATTTTTGTAACCAAGTACATTTACTCAAGTGCTGTGCTTAAGTAAAAATGTGTTTTTACTTTCCTGCATTGAGTATGTTTTACTTTTAATACTTAAAGTACATTTCCCTGATTATACTTACATACTTTTACTGAAGCAACATTTGCAATGCTTTTACTTGCAACAAAGCATTTTTACAGCATGGTATTATTACTTTTACTTAGTATCTGAATACTTCCTCTACCACTTCTAAATACATATGAATGTAATATGTACAAGATTTTTTTGAGGGGCAGGAGTGACAACAACTGAGCATTTGAAATATGTTACCTGTCTTGTTATTAGTCAAGAGTAGAGTTAGGAGAAGAAAACCAAACTAGGACAAACATTCAGCACTGTACATGGGGCAGTAAAAACATCAGAAGTGTTGCAACAGCAGTAGTAGAAGATGTATTAGATACAGGAGCTGTTGGAAGACACTCATACTAAAACACACATACACACAAGTTTGGATAGCAAATATTTAAGACTGTCTAAACAGTTCTACTGGCAACCAACTTCCAAAACTACCATGTTTATGCTGTCCATCATTTAAAGTCTCTTTCTCTTCTCTTCAGTTTTGTGTCTCCTGTCGCATCTTTGTTTAGTCTTTAATTTAAAAATGTCAAACTGTTTGTCCCACCAAGACCCAAAAAGGAAGTTCTCTTCCAGAAGCCCTCCACGCTAAATGCCAAAATGCTATTTCCAAATTTTCCACTCAGTACTTTAATGTTTGTTGCAGAGGAAAAAGAAAATATGCTTCATTCAAGTGAGTGAATCAAGTTGAAGTGAAAGTCAACACACAGTGGCATGAGGTTGATTTCAAACAATGGAAACAGTATTATGATTTTACTCACAGAGTCAGACATTCATCTTCCTCGGGTCATATGCAGAGTGTTACAGTATGTACATGTTTTTGGGTTGTTGTTTATTTGCAGTCCCTGTATTTGTGAAGCTTTGTATGTACATTTTGTTATCTGACCTGTGCGTTTGTTCCTTTATGGATTCTCTTCATTTGTGTTGATATTTTTTCCTTTTGCGCTGTGTGCCAAATGTACTGTATTTTAAAAGGATGTGAAGGTGTATTTTAATTTTTGAAACAAATTAAATATCATGATGTCAGAAACAAAATCTGTTTTAGTGTATCATTTCTATTTCAATGTTTATATCTGCCTGTCTAACCCTTCACCAGCTCCTGTTGGTGTTTCAAGGTAAATCATTTGAAATAAACCCAATTTGTCTCATGAATTCAGTAAAAATAAAACAATTTAAGCATAATATGACCTCAACAAGTACTCAACAGAAAGACAGAAATAATATACATGACATTACCATACAACTTAGAAAAATCATTTAAAATTTAGCTGCAGTAGTGATTACTGGGCACTCGTACTTTGTGCACGTTGGGACGTGCTGCGGTTGCTTCATGCACCAGTATCATCTTCTTGTTTACAGTAGGTGGCGCTATGACTGACTGAATATTGGCATGTAGATGTGTTGAGGGCGGGAGTCTTATCAAACATGTGAAGTTTGGTGGAGCTACGACAAAGTACACTGAAGTTATGACGACATCCTGTTTCATGGCGATACGGTGAAATTCGACACCAAGCCATGGACACGCCATTTAATGTACAATCACAGATAGCACTGTTAATCGTGGTCATTAGATTGCACTGACCTAATTTGAAGTTGATTCCATCAATTCCCTAGGAGGAGTTTGCTTAAATACAACGCCTGCAAATCGGCAAAAATGACCACTAAATTTAAAATGGCCGCCTTCCTATTGGGTTTTGGGTATGGGTCCAAGAGGCTTTTTTGTTTGTCTGGTCATGAAACAAGTACATACCAATTTCCATACATATCGGTAATACGTGCCTCAGGAGCTGAGTTTAGTGGGCGCTGTTGAGCCATTAGAGTCTGGCAAGTGCAGGAACCATACAATCTGTATCAGCCACATTTCATGAGTTTTCAAGCATGTTATGGCCTCCAAAAATGTGATCCTTTTGGCAGATAACTCCTTGCATTTCAGTCAGGCTTTGCAGTGCTCGCTGCTCGGGCCCTAATTAGAAAGCACCCAGGATCATTGAGTTCCTCCACCAAGGAAGATCTTTAATCTTTTCCATCTGAAATGTTTGACAAGTTGACAGATGAAGACCATGTTAAATGCCAGAAGCAGTTATCTGCATCTGTCTCTTCTGAAAAATGTGGTGAAACCTGCTCTTAAACACAATGTTGCTGGGAAACTGAACTTGAATTGGTTTAGAGAGAAAATTAACAATAGTTATGACGCAGGGTGGCCTCTGTTTTTGTTTTTACCCTCTTAAAAAGCTGTGTCCTTTATTCCACATCAGTCAGGTGAGCCCAAATATTTTATTACAGCTGTCTACTCCAAAGCTAAGCTGCCAACACAAAACAGACTGATACAGTCATGTTTTACATCTTAATTTCATACCTGCAATCAGCTGCAGCTTACATATAAACCTAGTTTATGGGCTCAGTAAATGATGGCAGTAAATTACCAGCAAACCACTACCAGTAAGACATGCTCATAGTGCACTTTGATTGACCTCTCTTGGACATTTTACATATGCGGTTTTATGTGAAATAAAGGTCTGGTGCAGTAATAAGAGATGATAGAATTTTAGAAATTTAGAATAGAATTTAAAATTCTCCTCCTCACCTATAAAGCTCTTCATGGTCAGGCCCCTTCTTATCTTGAAGAGCTCATAGTACCCTATTACCCCTCTAGAACAC